TATACATACACTACAGTCCGGATCATTTTAGGAATAAATTTTGTTTTGTAGTCTTTCACCTTCTCTGGATGGCAATAATTTGGTCTCGAGATATAAAGTTAAAAACCTTGGTGTTATTTTTGATGAGGATGTTTTTTTTTATTTTTATCCCCCCACATTAAAAACGTTACTAGAGCCACCTTCTTCTTCCACCTGCGTACGTAATATCGCTAAAATTAGGCTCGTTGTTCCACATCTGATACATTTCAGCATGTTTTAATCTAATTTAAGCTGTTTTTCAGCAAGTTCTTTAACAATAAGCATTCACACACAATTTTATGAGTAAAATAAATTTCTCTAGTTGTGTTTAGAAGTAAACTTTACTTCACACTTATGTTAAAAACAATGTCAACTGATGCTTTACTTGTTTTGTTGCATCAAACTTAACTAATATTATTAATACAAAATGAAACGAATGCATATACCAACTAAAAATCAGTAATTATATGTTTTCTCGTTTATGTGCACTTACCCTCGCAACTAGACCCTTAACAACAGAATGAGCGCGCGCTCACTTTTACGTGGCTGGGGATGACCGGAAGTTCACGCCCATCCTAAAAAAAATGGACACTCAATTAACAAATTAAAATAAGTCTGATTATCTGCTGAGTGACACTTTATGTGGGCGATTTTTCTTGGTAAATAAATATATATTTTTATTTTGTCACTGCAATAAACTGTTTCAGTCAGCCCCACCATGAAAACTGCCGTAAAGTGGCCTCCACTTGGAAAAGTCACTGAGCCACCTTGGTGAAAACTTATTTTAAAATACAATCTGAATTTTTCTGAAAATCTACTTTTAAGCTGTGGAAATTTTATTTTTTTTACATATTGGTTTAAATGTTCCCTGTTCCCCTGAATAAGTGTGTTCTTCTCGAAGTGACGTTTTTTTTGTTATTATTTTGAAGTACTGGACTGTGGACCTTTAATTCCGCTGATTCCTACGTGAGACTCGCGCAACACGGGTCAGCTGACTTCAGACGCCATTTTGTCAGCCATTTCCTACACAGGTCTACCACCAGCGTCTGTGCTGCACAGCTCAGGACGTCTGGCCTCAGCAGCTTCATCTGCCCGGGCTCGGAGAGAGAACCTGCTGCGGACCCGGACCACACGGCCCCCGGCTGGAACAGAAACTAGTCGAACGGGGTCCCTTGCTCTCTTGCCCCGCAGGACCGGAGCGGTCACAAGTCAGACATGGCTTTGAAGATTGTCAAAGGGAGCATCGATCGGATGTTCGACAAAAACCTTCAGGATTTAGTACGTGGCATCAGAAATCACAAGGAAGATGAGGTAAGACGAGCACGCGCTGTCACCTGAACCACATTAAAAGCCTCACATTTATTAATGTTTTTATGTAAACTACCGTCACCGTTATACCGCGACTAGCTAACCAACCAACCCTGGGTGAGTTAGCTTGGCTCAGCCGCCTGCTAGCAACAAACTACAGTCATTCAGTAGTTTACGCAGCTGGTTGACGTTTGCTGAATTATTAAATTACTGAACACGAGCTGATTCTTACCTAGAACAATGTCTGGTATTAAACAAGGAGACTTGCTGACAGCTAGATAATATTCAATTAGAGGAAGAATGAATCACAGCTTAGCAGGACCTTAACTCTCCAGCAAAACCGAGACCAAACCAGAGATTTTAGCTTTGCAGAACTGTCCTTAAGCACAAGCACAAAAACCTACATACAAAAGATCAGGGGGTTTACTCGTATGTAATGCATTATTAAGATTTCTGAAGCCAACACGCACAATATAAAGATGTCCACTGTCCAGAACCATCCAATAACTACATCAGTGGTATAAGAACTGTTGCAATTACAGAACAAGATGTGAAATAGACACATCAACCTGCAAGGAACCGAAAATGGCTGTAAGGAGAACACTGGTCACAGGAAGATGTAAAAATATCTGAGTGGCATAATGGTTGCATAATGAATAACAAGACACATTTTAGGATGTATTGCTCCTGTGTAGTGCAGCTGTTTACCTACTGAGCCCCATGTTTATTATTGAAGGTCATTTAGTCTCCAACAGATGCTGTATTTATTGTATCTTAATCTTCTAACCTACAAAGCCCTCAACAACCTAGTTCCACCTTTATATCTTATTGTTCCATATTTTCCTAACAGAGCACTTCGCTCTCAGACTACAGGTTTACTTGTGAGTCTTAGAGTTTCCAAAAGCAGAATGGGAGGAATATCTTTCAGTTATCAGGCTCCTCTCGTGTGGAACCAGCTTCCAGTTTCTGTCCGTAAGGCTGACACATTGTCCAGTTTTAAGACTGGGCTTAAGAATTTTTTTTTTTTGTTGATAAATCCTATAATTAGGGTTTGCTTGTTATGCTGCCTTAAACTTTGTGTACAGGAGGACAAATTGACCTAATTTCTTCAAATGAATTGTTACAATTGAATATTTTTTATTTGATATTATTTCTATCTTAATGTGATTCTCGGCCTGCCATTGTGTATCTGTTCCTCCGTCCTTTTCTTCTCAAACCCAGCCGGTCGAAGCAGATGGCCTCTTGTCCTGAGCCTGGTTCTGCTGGAGGCTTCCTCATGACAACGTTTTTCTTTCCACTGTTGCCTTCATGCTTGAAGAGCTCTGCGATGAAGTTAAATTCAAAGCAATCTGCTCCTCAGATAAATAATGTTATTAACTGAGTTTTTATGCATATGAATGTTTCTGTTCTGTGCCCTGAGATGATTTCTGTTGTGACTTGGTGCTATATAATTACACTGAATTGAAATGAATTATGGGGTCTGGTTAAATTGGAGACAAAGGTATTTAGCTGTCAAATGAATCGTGTTATGATAAACTGACATGGGCAAAGTGTGAAAGAAGCCGCATTTAGAAACAAGTCTCACTTTACGCAGATTAAATTTATCTGGATGTTAAAGCAAAGCAAATGGTGAATTAGATCGCAATTCATCCTGCGAGTGAAAACTATTGTCCATGTTGTAGCTATGTAGAGTAGTGTGCGAGTCAGCCACTAGTTTAGTTCTGACGATGGGAGGCCTTGTTGATGCAAAAATGCTTTATCATGAAATGTAGTGGAGGGTGTGTGAAGTCTGGGATGCATTGCTGTAGTTCAAGTGTTTGATATAGATGGTTCATCCAGTTTAAGGACAGTTTTAGGATTCTTTCTCATTTGGACATTTTTGTCAACCTTACCATCTAGCTATGAGATTAGCTAGGGGTAAAACCAGCAGATCAAATCAAAAGGATTTTCCCAAATATATTTTACTTCAGGAAATTAAAAACAAGCACTAAGATCAGCAGTGTTCTTGGAGATTATCAGCTCTCGATCACTTGATTCTGTGCACGTTGCTGTCTGTGCTGTGCGTCAGTGGTAACCTTACCAGGGCTGCCTAGATAAGGTGCTGGTTTCCCAGTCAACAGTGGACAGACTGCTAAAATATTAATGCTCGGTGTGTGCATTCACAGTGTGCATTGCCCTGTCTTGGTTTTTTTTTTTTTTTAATAGTTAGCCCACATTTTTGACATTCTTTCTGTTTTGCACATGCAGGTTAAATGTTTGCACAGTTCATTCGTTCACTTTGGAACAGAGGGCGTATTGAGGAAAACGTGTGAGGAGGATGGTTGCTTCTTGGAAGTGTCTGAGCTGTTTGTTGGTGTTTTGTTAAAGTTAAAGAAGTATCACTAATTGGTCAAATAACAGTTTGGAAAGCACAGTTTATCCCTAACTCAGTCTGTGTTATTGATCCTCACTGGCTCTACATCAGCTATGTGAGGTATTTTGATGAGTGCTGAACTGATCATTAAAAAGAGCAAACAGTTTTTTTGCTGTCGAGCTCAGTGCTCCCCCATCCCTCCACCTCCTCCTGTAACTGTGCCGTCTCATGACTGCACACACATGACCAGCACACTCTCAAACCCTACTGCTATATGTTTTGTTAGGTTGCTCCTTTTGGCAATAATTAACTGATTTTTTTTACAGGAAATGCCTAACTCTGCTCCCTTCCCAGCGCTGAAAAACATAATAAAATTGTCTCATTGCTCTTAAATTCTCCAGAAATATATTGTGTTATTGCTGCCAACAATAAAAGCAGCTATTAATTCATTAAAAAAAAGTATTATTTGATCGAGCTTTTGAAGTCACTCAAACTGTAACGCACTTCTTATGATTTAAGTTCTGTTGATGCTCACAGTCGTAGCATTGTTGTAGAGTTAAGAACTGATTGTGTGAGGGGTAAAATATGCTTGATTTTATTAAATTTCCTTATTTAATTCCCTCAGTGCTTCCAGGGTTTTCAGGCTTTGGTTTTTTTTTTTGGGTGCTAGAAATGTAGTGCTCCGGATATTATTTCACCTACTGGGTAATCTGATTTGACGTCTGCTTTGTCTTCTTGTTTTGTATGTCCGCAGGCCAAATACATCTCCACGTGCATCGATGAGATCAAACAGGAGCTCAAGCAGGACAACATCGCTGTCAAAGCCAATGCTGTGTGCAAGCTCACCTACGTAAGATCACCCACCTTCCACACACACACACCGGCTTTGTCAGTCACCTCTCTGTTACATTTACACCTGTACACATACAGATCAAACACTGTGTATGCAGCTCGGTTTAACCCCACCCTGTCTTTCCTTTGATGGGAGACTGACTACCTGCTTTGACACATTTATTGAAAATGATACCAGTGTTGTTTCATATAAAACACTTGTTTGTTAATAAAAATTATAAATTTAGAGCTAAATATTAAATACATTGGAGTTTGTATAAAATATGCATGTTACTACAAGTTATGAAGAGTTTCAGTTTGTTTGGACGTTTTGTTAGTTTGTGTGAACCAGATGGCACTACACACTTTTTTGTTCCTAAAGCTTGAAGTACATCACCTTCAAGATAATCACAGATTTAAACTTTCTGGATCAATGACTTGTGGGTATAAAACACAAATAAGGCCGTTGTTACTAGCCATAATAAAGAAGATGAATTAAGATTTATTTTACTCAAATGACCCATTCTTATTGTAGGGAGGGAGTTACACTTTTCTATTACAGTCGCCCATATTGAATATAAATTGCTGTGATTGTTTTAACAGGATATAATTAAATTGAAATAAGCCAAAGCAAAGTGGAGTAATAACGCATTATGTCCAAGTTTTTATTAGGTTGAATTATGTAGCATTAACTTGTTAATTGGCTGTATTTTTACAAAATGGCATAAAGCTGCATAGTTTTATTTAGAAGAATGAGCAGAACAAGAGAGATGCATTTCCAGCAGTTCTTGACCAAATGTAATCGGTGTTTCTATTTTTAGCCAACATACACATTTTGCTTTGGATGCCTTGATCAGCTGGCATATCTCCTGCAGGGACGGTTTAAACCCCGCCCCCCATACACCCCCCCACACCTTCCTTTTTTATTTACAGTATGTCTAATTTGTTTTACAGCTTCAGATGCTGGGCTATGACGTCAGCTGGGCCGCTTTCAACATCGTTGAAGTCATGAGTTCTTCGAAGTTCACATACAAGGTTTGACTGCAGTATTTGTTGACGATGCATGCCATCCTGACATTTTACTTTGCATTAAGCAAATGATACAGTTGTGATAAACCTGTGTGGAGACTGATGAAAACATTTCTGATGAAATGGCATGCTTGTTTTTTTTTCCTACATGCTTTTCTTCTTGCAGAGGATTGGTTACTTAGCAGCCTCACAGTGCTTTCACGAGAGCACAGATGTCATCATGCTGACAACTAATCAGATTCGAAAGGTCAGTGATGCACTTGTTTTTATGTATCTTGTAAGAATCTCTGGACTCTTACCTCTCTCCAACCTTTTCTGCCTTATTGATATTTTCCCCTTTTTTGTTCTTGTCTTTCTTTCAGGATCTCAGTAGCCCCAACCAGTATGACACCGGTGTTGCCCTCACTGGCCTCTCTTGTTTTGTGACTCCTGACCTGGCTCGGGATCTTGCTAATGACATCATGACATTAGTGAGTCATGCAGAAAATGCCAAGTTTACTCACATGGCCTTCCCTCTAGAGCTGTATTTTCTCTCAGGCTATCAGTTTTTTCCTTCAAGGTCCTTTTTTTTTTTTTTTTTAGAACCTTGCAGATAAAATGTCGTTTTTTAAAAGAAATACTTAAAACACAATTGTCTCATTGCTTTTGTATTTTTTCTAGATGTCCCACACTAAACCTTACATCAGGAAGAAAGCTGTGTTGATCATGTATAAGGTGTTTTTGAAGTACCCAGAGTCCCTCCGCCCTGCTTTCCCAAGGCTTAAGGAGAAACTTGAGGACCCAGACCCAGGTAGCAAGAAACACACTGTACTGAGTTTGTTACACAGGTGTACTCTGTCATTCCAATCTCATTAAATTTTTAGTCTGAAACAATATGTAAAAAATAAAATTTTGATGCTGCTGATTGATTATATGTTCCTCATATAATGATCATGCGGCTTTTTGACAAAAAGAGTATTACCTAAGTCACCTAAATGTCAAATGACTTCCCGAACTGCTTTATTTTCATCTGTTAGTAGGGTATTGTTGTTCAGCCAGTAACCAGGAGACGTGACGCATGCCTTGCATCAGTTGTCAGATCTATAATCCAATCACTGACGAGGTGATGTTTGCACAAACTGGCTTTGAAAACAGCCCGGACATTGCTGCATTCAGCTCCCTGTTCTTGCACAGAATCTGTAGAAATTGTTAAGTAGCTGTGTGGGAAATGTGAGATTTTAAACTTTTAGGCCCAATTAATGGACCAAAATGCAGTTTGATAAGATTGCTTTTAGTCTTGCAAACGAGAACTCTGTGGATACACATCAAGACTGGTGCAATATAAAGATATTTTTTTTTCCCTGCATCTTTTAAAATATATTTGACCAGTTTTTATGGTTTTAAGAAACTTCTATACATGGACTGTACTTGTATAGCACCTTCCTATCTTATCAAGATACTCAAAGTGCTTTACAACACAATCTGTGCCTCATTCACCCATTCATACAGCTCACTACTAGAGCTATACAAAGAATAATTAGTGCTTTATCACATTCATGCACATTCATGCATAACAGGTCTGATTCCACATTTTGTCTTGAACTACTTTACTTAAATTGGAATAGATTTCACAACAGAAAAAAATGTTTTTTAGTTAATGTTGTTTTGAACTGGTTTGTTTTGATAATAGTTTTTGATTTTGATTATTTTTTCCATTTTAGGTGTCCAGTCAGCAGCTGTCAACGTTATCTGTGAGCTGGCCAGGAGAAATCCCAAGAACTATCTGTCTCTGGCTCCACTTTTTTTCAAACTTATGACCTCTTCTACTAATAACTGGGTTCTCATTAAGATCATCAAACTGGTAAGACAGCAGAACAGATCAAAGTGCCGCTCCAGAGTAACAATTTAGAAATGCAGGCAGAGTTAATTGTTATGATAGAGAATAAAATATCATCATTTAGTTTTTTGTTTTGCTTTTAGACTGTTTAATAGCAAGCAAACCAAATTTTCAATCTTGTCATTTAAATATGGTAATTTTGAAAATGAAGAAGTACAACAGGAAAAGAAGAATGTTAAATTTAGTGGATATGTTGGACAGTAAATAAATATGCTCATGACAAAAAAGCTGTCGTGCTTGAAAGTAAGAATCAAATTTAGTTTCTCCTTAAGTTTTCACATGGAAAAATAGTGAAATGTTTACAATGTGAAAGCAGTGGTGGGTTTTACAGAAGGATCTTGGTGCTTTTTACAGTTTGGTGCACTCACACCTCTGGAACCAAGACTGGGGAAGAAGCTTATTGAACCTCTGACAAATCTAATTCACAGGTGAGCTGAAAATGACAATTTTACACCCAACCGTTGCTGTTTGTCACCAGAAGGTCACATGTAATTAATTTACCAGTTGTAATCGTGATGTTCTTCTTTTCCCCTGTCGTCCTCTCTCACAGTACTTCTGCCATGTCTCTGCTGTATGAATGTGTCAACACTGTAATTGCAGGTCAGTGCTGAAAATCTGAGGCACGCAACTGACTCATCGTTGCTGTCTTTGTTGTAGATTGCACCTAAAATGTAGAGTTGGTAGTAGACTTTTTGCATTTATTTCATTTTAAGGCATATGAGCATTTGTGACCATGTGCTTATTTTCATCTATGTTTAGCATGGTTATATTTTATGCATTTGCAAAACAAGCAATAGTTGTAAACTGTATTTGTTTCCTCAAAACAATTCAACAACACTTTACCTGTTTAGGATTCATAGTGATTGCTTCTGTAGATTTTTTTTTTTTAATATAGGGTCTTAAGTTACATTTTGTCCCCCCTCATACGCAAAATTCCCATTTTTACTCTGCTGAAATATTTGGTTATTAATGACTGATTTCCTTCTTTTTTTGTTGCAGTGTTGATTTCTTTGTCCTCTGGGATGCCTAACCACAGTGCTAGTATCCAGGTAAGACTTCAAGTTCCTGAACTTTCATCCTTATTTTAACATGAATATTTTCTTATTATAAACCATTTTCCACTATAGTTGAGCCATGATGCACACTGTCACCAGTCTGTTTACTTAGTTGTATGCAAGTAGAATAATACTATTTTTCAGTTAGGCAAGGAAGCTGATTTGGTAAGTGCTAAATCAGTAATACAGAAAATATCTACTATGAACTATTTAGGTAAAGCCACCCTCACATAGATCACTGTTATGGTGTTTTTTCATTCAACCTTTATTTATTAATTAGTCTCACTGAGCCTCGAGGACTCATTTACAAGATAGACCTGTTTTTAACAAAGAATGGTGACAACAGTAGACAATCATAAAATAAAACATATAAATTGAGAAAAATAAATGAAAGCAAATTATATAAATAAATAAAAAAAGAAACAAAAACGGCTACATTGTAAAGCGATGTGTTCACTGTAGTTGCTGTGGAGGAGAAAATATATACTGTATGTGCACAAACTGCACCTTATGTTTGGTGCAGTTTTGAGCTGCCTAAAAATACTCAGGAAACTAAGTTTTTGTGGATTTTGGATTTTAAGATTCATCTGTCAAGCTGTCAGATGAATGTCTGGGCATTACTTTACGAATGAGGAGGAAGGGATAAGTGGGAACTAAGAGGATCTTGGTTTATAATGTCCTTGGAATTTGCTGTCTTTAGTTGTTCAGGAGCTACGCTTTTATATATATATAAATATATATATATATATATATATATATATA